TGCCATAGAAACGATCACAACTGAATTAAAACAGCTGTTTACTAATAATAAACAAATTCCTGTTGCCATGGTGAGAAGCAAGTACCATGAGGAGTTTGGTCGACAYCTAAACATGGCTAACACTGGATTTCCTTCGTTAGAAACTATGGTCATTTCTGTGATACCAGGTGCTAAGGTAAGCTATAATTTAATGGTATRTTATATATAAACCAGCAGATGTTTTGTTGAAGTGAAGTGAAAGAGATCCATCTTGTGGAAATTTTGTATATTTGGAGAGAAAACAAGCATGAATAGGTACATCTAACCAAGCTTTGACAGGACATTCAAAATGTGCTTCGTCACTACACCTACCGGTAATTTCGTATACATAATCTCATTTGTATAATTTGCACCAACCTTATCGTCTTTAATAAATTGTTCTATTATGTTGACATCAGTTAAGATAATGTTGATGGTATATTATAATGGTCGTGTTTGCGTACAAAAATAGGCTTGGTGATTATGATAGCAAATTGTCAACAGACTCTTCGTTGAGATTTGTAAAAGAAACACCTTGAATAAGATGATAAGTTTTCACTTTGCTTCTATTGTTTTGATGAACTATTTTTAATTGTTATCCAACTTCTATCTAAAATATCATACTTGAATCCCCATTAAAATCTTTATTATTACTTCAAAGTGATATCATTTCATAAGATTGTCATATATTTTCAGATTCTCGATGTGAAAGGAGAAAGAACAGTCTGTTTTCCATCAAAAGATCAGTCTGTGCAAGATTTGGTTGAGCTAGTGAGCCAACAAGATGGAGGGTTTGTATCTCTAAAGCGTCTTCCAGTGCTTTACCGCAAGCATTTCAACAAGAAATTACCTTTTWCAATAAACAAGCTACAAGACCTTGTGGCGACTACCAATAAAGAACTACAAGTAAGTATATTTTGGTGTTTTTCAAATAGATTTTCACAATGACTACTTCAATTGATTAATAAATGTTGATACATTTTGTTTTAGATTCTAGGTGCTGATAATGACCAAATCTTATGTTACACCAACACTTCTAGTCAAGGTGAATTGTTTCTTCTCCACTTCTTGTCTCGTTCTTGTTCTTTTTGTYGGTGGTGGTGGTTGTAGTGATGGTGGCAGCGGTGTTCTTCTTCTTCTTCTTCTTCACCTTTCTGTTCTTCTTGTTCTTCATCTTCTTGCTCTCCTTTTCTTATTGTTCTTATTTTTCTTCTAATTATTTTTCTTCAGCTACATGTACTTTAGTCTACGTCTTGTTTTTCTTCCTCGCCTTTCTACTCTATTTCTTCTTCCTCTTCATCGTTTTTGACCACGTTCTTCTTCATCTTCTTTCATTTTCCTTCGCTCTTTTTCCTTCCTCTTATTCTTTCTACTTTTGCTTGTTCTTCACTTCACGTCTCCTCGATTTATTCTCATTAGAGTCCCAATGCTTTTCGTTTAGACCACCAAAGTCATGACTTTAAGAAGTTAGCAAGCGACATACACAATATGTTAATCAAATTTCCTGGCTGTCGTATGTCCCGTGCTGCACTCTCTGCTATATACCATCGTCAGAGGGGTATAGGTACAATGGCAAGCCGATGGCCAGGGTTATCAACGCTGGATRCCCTTCTAGAGGCTATGTSTGACAGTATTGAGGTAGGRTCACCAATAGACTTCACTGCRTATGCAATAAAACTTATATAAGACGYACAATATGGATTGTTTATCAATTGAAGTACTTCAGGGGTGTATCCAGGCATTTTGAAGGAGGGTGGGGGAGGGGGGACACATATATATATAGATTCTGAGCCCGTTAGTGTCTTTAGAAATGAGACGCTTCCATAAGTGGGCTTTATTGCTTACGTTATTTCATAAATTTTATGATATAATTAAAACATGTTAGAATACTCTTATTATGATATAATTTATGATAAGATATTTAATGAAAATCATATACAAAACACAAATAAATTAGGAATTTCGCACGAACATTTGGGTACCGTCCCCCTTGGCTACCCCCTTAGTCCACTTCCCCCTTCTACTTAGTACAAACCAGTTGATATCACTGTAAAAGAACAGCGGAAAGACCGATGTCAATGTTTCTGTAGCTGCCTTTGAGTTCCTTTGTCTTTTTATTGATTAGTTACTTGAAAAGTTAGTAATAATTTAAGGTTTTGTCCAGGTTACAGGTACTGGTGACTTCGCCTCCGTCTGTCTCAAGCATGATCACGTGGTACGATGCCTTGCTCGTGATGTCATAACAATTCTGACGTCATATATCGGTAAAACTGTCCAAGTCAACAATATCCCGAAGTTGTATGAGAAGACCTTTGGGCGCTCTTTATCTACACATCACTATGGCTTTGTGAATGTCCATGACATGATGGAAGCTATGTGTTCTGTGGTCAGGGTGAGTAGTATGGTGTATGTAGCCTGTGTGCTTTCGCTAGGATGGGTGGGGAAGGGGGTCGGGGGGAGGAAATGAGAGGGGGATTCATTGGTTTAGTTAAGGATGGATATGGTTATCCACGGAGAAAAGCGATTGTTTATACGATTGATAATGATAATCATCATCATCATAAACATAACAGAAAGTTATCCCAAATTACTAATAAGAAAATCTTTGAAAATAATTTCCACGATTACAGACTACATAAAACTGCACTTGTATTATGGCTGGACGTTTGATGGACAAATACATTATGTACACAATAAATTTGATTGCGGGGTAATTCGTGTAGCCCCCTTGCAGATCATGGGAATGCAGCTCAAACTGGAGGTCAAAGCAAAGGATTCTAGTTCCCAAGAGGGCAAAAGTCTTTTGTTGTGACCTCCAGATGAAGCTGTTTTGACGTCACATGCAAGGAATCTATTGTCAATTAGTAATTCCTCGGTTGATTTCAATTTCTTTCCTTTACAGGTCATTGGCGAAAAGAAAAACCGCGTCTGTCTCTCTCCGCTGCAGTTGTTTGCCATTGAAACCAAACAGCTGCTAACACATGCAGGAGGATGTGTTTCWCTMAATCGATTCGCACCATGTTATCAGCAGTATTACAACAAACCCTGCAAGGCGTCTGACTATGGTTTTTCACGATTGTCTGAAGTTCTTGCTGCTGTACCCAATGTAGCTGAAGTCAGAGGCAAGGGTGTGGAAAAAATGGTCATTTTCRTTGCTGAMGGGGATGTCTTGCTGGAGTTTATAGGTAACAYGACAGTAAAGAATATGAATTGTCGCTTAGGAAAACATAATAGCCGGAGTAATTCTTTTATGTTGCATTTCTTTGAAATTTTCAGACATAACTGCGGCAAATGTGTTAACCCTTTTTCGGCGATTAACTTAAAGGCATGCATGAATCCGGGAACGTTTGCGAACGTTCATTTTGCTTAAAAAAGGTCTGTTGAAGGCAGCTTTCCTATTGGTTCAAAGTCGAAAATGGTAAATTTTGGTATTTGAGAAAATCGCGCTAAGGTTCTCGGAYGCTCGTGGACCTTTCATGTTTTAACATTTTACCTTGACGTGTACTTTAGTAATGATAAGTACGACTCAAACCTGTGCATAGTTCAGAAACGGGATTGACTCGTCAATTCAATTTCATATAGCGTGAATTTCTCGTTAAAATAGGTTTAAAACAAAACCCTGCTCCCAAAGCCACTGACCAGAGCGAGAACAGCAGAGAAAGTCCTCCAATCATTTATGAAGGATCAGATACTGAGTCTGTCATTGTTGAAGAAGGTAAGAGTGCACACAGGCTAGGTGTTTAAGCACACTTTCAAGAACCTCGTCAGAAACAAATCGAATTCTTATGCCAGTGAAAAGTTTAAGCCTTATTGGGTCATATTAGAAAACACACAATCAAATAAAACATCGTTTGTATGGTAAGACAATATTTACATTATATGTATATGTTATATTTTACCCAGTCATTTACAAAAGTTCTGTTTGAGTGCATCATGGGTAATTTCATATGATTTTCGATCTTTTCACGCTAACTATGTTTGTAATTGAACTCTTTCAAATGATATGCGAACATATTCTCCCGTTTAACAGCAATTTGAATTAGTTTTTACTTTATAATTGCACCAGCCGCCAGTATTTAAAGGTTTGTTTTTATCCAAACAGAATTAGATGACCCTCAGGAAATATCWGCTGCCAATGTTGAGCCGACAGGTTTGTRAATATAACTAGACCCAAAACCTTTGGGATATTCATTAAAGAAAWSATTTAAATGKGAAAATAGAAAAATGGGAACGCAAGCATTGAAAATGGGAAAACAGGYATTGRAACTAAATGKRTCTATAAATTGTGCCATTCGAGTTTAGTRAGGTTCATAGAGTTGTCCACATGTATAAGTATTCCCATAAAAGGTTTATTTATCTCCTTACGCTTATTCATAGCGTTACAATCATAATGGCGTCATGGAAGACTCCTTTTGTTATAATATAAGTATAAACGCTTTTATTTTGTCAATAGACTTAATAGTTCTAAGTGGAAATGAAGAGTCACCAATCGTTAACCGTCCTCCAAGTGACTGGATGATGGCTCCTGTYCCAAAAACTCTACCAGAACCAGGACTCTACCCAGAGCAGGATCAACGTCCTTCAAATCCACAGGAGCCCCAAGATAGTGSTGACCTGATATCGTTTAAAGAGTTTGACGTATCACTGGCTGGTCTAAAAGATTCTTTRCAGAAGCAATGTCAGGATGGTGAGTTTACAAGCGAGGATATRGAAGTGTTAATGGTTAACMGAAGAGAACAAGAAGATCTGTCAATMAACTGTTCAGCGTGCATTGGAAGGGATGCACAGTGTGGTCTTCCTTCTAAGTCAATTTTCAAGTCACCAACAGACCATCTACTGCCTGTCAGTCCWGGGATGCACGATCTATCAGACGTGGAGGCAGAAATTCTTAATGTCAGGAARAAAAATGGGAAAAGTAATTCAGGCCGCAAAATTTCATCTAAAAAACCAAAGCCTACTCTTGCTCCATTYATCTTCAAAGAAACAACTCCAAGCAAAAAAGGAACAACRCCAGTCAARCTAGCTGTCARRTTCTCTAAGACGCCCTAGAGTTKCCATGACAACAAGGACTGTTTCCATGGTRTTTCGACCACCGTGGTAACCAGGAGAAGTTTTTGTGATAACTTCAAGTTGTGGTAACCATGGCAAGTTCGTACACGCGATAACCATAGTAACATATCCTTGACAACCTTTGTGGTATTCATGGTAACGTTGTATCCTTGGTAACCTTGTGTTTGTTGAAATCTTGGAAACATCGTGTTTGAGGCTGTTCTTTTGGTAAAATATTAGCAATTTTCAATACTGTTTTGTTAGATGCATTAGAAGCGTCTATTGTGAACTAGTTTTGTTTTTGATGTCTGACAAWTGAAAGACATTTAAACTATAGGTTTGGAAAAAATCTTTATTATACTTTCTTTATTGTAAACAACCAAACTTTCAACGGTTTGAATGTTGCGTCTTTACGAAATTCTTTGATATCTCTTAATTATTAATTAGTAAGCAAATTAACATATTAATTACAAGATTTAAATTATTCATTTATGATGTCTAGTTAMAAGAGTGCACTTTTCTTGAGTCGTAATAGGAAAACTTTAGGTAAGGATTTGAAAGCAATCCGATTAGCGAGTTTAGACGTTAATGAGTCGCTCTCAATTAKCGAAATTCTCGTCCATAGCATGCACGTTACATATAAAGTGCGACTTTAAAGCTAGGCCTAGGTGAATTAGTCAAGACTTCTATAGCATAAATTAATATATTTATAAAAGAGATTAAGTTATATAAGAGTGAAATAGAGTTGTTCTCATATACCCATGAAACAAAATATACTAATTTACAGTAACAGTAGTCAGTGAATAGTGCACATTGTATTTCACGGGTTTATGGTCGTATAAATGTGTGTTTGAACAACATCTAATGTGACCTCACCTTCATTTMGCTATTTCGGAAAGGACATAAAAAGAACTGCCTCAAGTCTGCATAAGTTCTTCTCAAGTTCAGGATCCTAGTGACACTGATCTCGTAGTGTGTAATTTCTTTGTCCTTTCCTTAGGTCGTCAGACCTTTATGCCATCGGTAAAAATAACGTTAACAGTGGTATAACATGGATATAATGTTCGGTGCGGTGGTTTATCGTTTGTACTAGTACTATACATGTCAAAATATCGCCCCATGTAAGAGAATCCAGAGAACTAGAGCATTCCGGATTCCCAAACATTGGATTCTAGATTCCAAGACTTGAGATTCTGGATTCCAAAGAATGTGTGTTTTGGATTTCAAAATTTTGCTACTTTTTACTGGATTCTGGATTCTCTTATATGGGGCGAAAAATACATAATATTTAAARTATTTCCCTTTAAGACTACTTTTGATTCGTCTTTGAAATAAAATTCCTCCGGATAGAGGTAAAACTATAGTTGATTGTGGTCTGAAATGGGAAAGCAATAATGTAAGTTATAAAATTCAGTTTTGTTGTTTATGTTGTTTTTTTTAACCCGTGAAACAAAATGCTAGTTTTTTTTCTAAGTTATAGACATGGGATTATGAAAACAACCCTAMAATTAAATAGTATTAGATATTTATCGTGTTATTGCCCTGAGAAAGGCGAGTTTTTGGTTGATACCAAGTCAGCAAAAAAAAATTCATGTTCATGTTTTTCAAACATCCGATGATTGGCATGGTGCGCAGTTGTTAGATTTTCTAACTAGAGGTTGTTGAAATTTCAGCTTTCAATTTCTGTGTTTATAAAGATTGTCTAGATTAAATTTGCAATAAAATCGAGTATATGTTTCTCTGCATTGTTTTGTTGTTTTTATTTGTTGTTGCTGTTGCAAGAGGCTTATTTCAAACAATTCTGCAGCCAGCAGCGAGCGTCCGAGAAGCGTGAAGACTTGGCTATAGCATCACATGGTGATTTGTATACATTTTCGTTATTTGGTAGCACTTGCCACTTCTTGACAATACTTCATTTGAGACACTGAAGCTAAATTTGCATCGAATAAAGAGAAATTCACCCCTATATATATAATACTAGTATAAATATTGCAATCTGCGTAAGTTTCTGAAAAACGCAGCTTGCTAGCTGTTTGATTACACAGAGAGTATAACTACTTGCCTCGTTTTGATGTATTATGAATGAAGTTTATGGAGACGAGATGGAGTATTTTTATCGTTGTTTTGAGTTATGATAAATTAATAACTCCAAAAATCAGTTAAAGGAAATTTCCAATGTTTCGACTGCGCATCTGGCGAGAAAAAAATATAAATGATGCATTGATATTAATGATATGTGTTACCCGCAAATCCTCATTCCACCTGTAATCACAACAAATCAGGCCAAATGTGATGTCAGAGCAAGCTCTYAGCATAAAAAATTACTTCTCGAGAAAAATACTAATTTTTCCAACGGAAGTTCTATTCCGTGACTCGTAAAGGGGTCCATTGTAACCCTAGTCCTCTCCCAGCGGGGATATGTTTGTCATGCTTGTAGAGATGCTGCTGGCGGCGGTGACGAACGGCCTTCACGTTTATTTTGTACTTTTGCTGTCGTTCCTAGCGACTGTAGTTTATATGACATACCGTCTCCTTCGTTTCCCTAAGCCTGGTCCRTATGTGGTAAAAAGCTTTATTCGTAAGAACACTCCRAATAGAAATTCGCCTGTTATTATCGCACATCGWGGAGGAGGCCTCGAGGCCCCAGAAAATACTTTAGCGGCATTTCGAAAAGCCAAGSAAAATGGAGCCACTGGAGTGGAGTTTGATTTGGATTTYACTMAAGACGGAATTCCTGTAATAATTCATGATTCGACAGTTGATAGAACTACCGATGGATGTGGGAATGTCTGTGAATTACGATACGAAGAACTCAGKCGGATGAACGCTGCCGCAAAGCACCCTTTGAGGTAAGTAAAGTGTAAGACTTAWAAGTTCGTAAAGCTTACAAATTATAGACTGATTAATTATAAACAACTTCGGTTTAAAAACAACTGACTTTATTATGACAATATTTCATATTCGGACACATTAATTAGCTCTTGAGGGTTTTTTTTAAACCAGATTTGATCTGTCTCACCTTGATTATAATGATACACTTCCCACTTGTAATCTCTCTAGGATCCATGTCACTGAAACGAAGAGAAATGCATCCATAAAAATATTTCTCCACCTTCGCTACCAACAATATGACTACAAAGAAATTTCCTAAAAATGCAGGTTAATTCCCACTTTTCATATTTTCCATTTTATGTTTCATTTCAGAGGTGAATTTCCCAGTGAGCAAATTCCTACACTAGAAGATGCTGTCACCACATGTATTGATTTAGGTCTTCAGATGTATATCGATGTCAAAAAGTATACTGGAGTGAACAAGGTAAAGGAATTTAGTGTACTTGTGCACATTTTAAATGGTGTTACTTACATGTACAGTGATGGATGCAGAACAGAAAGCTAATTCATTTGGTATGGTTTYATGTCTKCTGGTTTTGACACATGTGAAATACCATCTCTGTATTCTATGGTTTGAACCTATCTTTTATGATATGACATTTCTACAGGTTGTGCATGCTTTAAAAGATGTCTTTGACCGACACAAGCTGCATGACAAAGCCATGGTTTGTTCGTTTTATCCAAATGTTATATTCCAGGTACAGTAGCTTTTTATACCTTAAATCACACAATGTTCTGAGTTCATTGCATAGAGCAGATTTTGTATCTGTGCAACAGCACGGATCACAACACAAACACGGCACAGCACAGTCACAGAACATTGCCTTCTACTGATTCCAAATAGAAATAAAGATTTAACAATACATCACGGTACAGTGATCACAGTACGGTCACAGCGCCCAATTTTGGAATTTATAGAGTCATTTTCATCATCTGTCTGTGAAACAATTACTACTAGTCAGTATTTAATAGWAGCTAGACTCAATTTCGAGTGAGAAACAGACGGTACTGTACTGTAGCCGTAATCGTACTGTAACCAAATTCTAGTGTCTCATTGCTTCACAAAAATTGTGCAGGCCACGTCTAGTAACTGTGTGGTAACCATGCGGAAATTTCTACCGTACGTTTCCCACTCATACGAAATTGACTCTATTCAGGGTGTAAGTAGGCTACCATAAGGCAAAATCAAAAGCGTTTTTGCCTATAGTATGATAAGTTTGTCGCATGTCATTAGTTAAACTATTGGGAGCTAATAGGGTGTAATAGTATTTAATATTCCATTTCACAGACGGATGAAAATTACTGTCTCTATACTGTAACTACATTTAACTTGTCAGTTACACTTTGTACTCTGTTATTATTAAAATGTACAATATAATGTAATGATATTAATAAATTGATAGGTTCATAATTATTGTTTATTAGTGAACTTGGTTCACAAGAACTCAATGCTCCAGGTATTAATACTTCCCATTTTTCAGGTCCGTAGAGCAGATCCAAACATTTTAACTGCCTTGACTTGGCGTAAACATGTTATCGCCAAACAAATGAATGGAGTTTCACGTTACAAAGAGGTTTGGAAACAGCTAATTACACAAGTCTTGGACAGGATATGGGAGCTACACCTTCATTCCTGGGTTTTTGAGTTTCTGGGAGTTACAGTGTTTCTAGTCAATAAGGATTCAGTTTCAAAGTAAGAATTACTAATAAAAGTAGTTTCCATTTGTGAATACTGTTAAACTAGATGCTCTTGGAGCTTGAAGTCCGACTAGCTATTTTTTAATGTATATTATGGCGTAGAATATCGTATTTTTTTACTTCTAATACATAGTGAAGAGTCTAACATCTACTAACRATATTCGTACATCTATACGTTTGAGCTTCTGATCATGTGATAACACAAGCAACCCAAAACGCAACATGATACATAGATAGATTGGCTAAGGTAAAACTTAAGTCGACCTAGCCTTCAGCTAGTCCGACTAATAAATTTCATACCCAAAACATTAGTGACAAGTAACGTATAAAATATGAGTGGGAAACCTTTAATAAAGAAGAATTCCTTCAAATGAAATTATTCATGACTGAATGCATTTCATACTAGTAGTAATGATTAGTAATAAACAAAATGCTGCATCTTTCAGGTGGTATATGGAGGAATTCAAGCAGCGTGGAATCAATCTAATACTATGGACTGTCAATCATCAGTCTGAGAAAGATTATTTTACTCAGTACCTTAAACTTCCAATAATGACAGACTGTGTTTGTAGAGATTCACAATATGAAGAACAAACTCTATGACAGTGAAGGAACTTTAAGAGTTGTATAAATAGGAAAATGGTATTACTCAATATGTAATTAAGCCACGCTTTTTTCCAAAAAAATATGTTCCCAAATCGGCGGTGCGGCTTATCTACGAGAAGACTTGTAAAATGCACTAAAAAAGCTAATTTGCACACATTAGCATTCTCTGTGCTACTTTCTGCAGACAGTTGGCGGCGTTTTATAAATTGTCTAGGACATTCAGTAAAGTTTGTTTTACACGGCGCAGAGCCAATGAACAGAGAGCATTTTCAATCCTTTTGTCTTGGAGTTGTTTTGGTGACGCAATGCTAATTTGCAATTCGACTTTGTCACACTTAAAGTGAAGAATCCAGGGTAAATATTTTGAATACCCAAGAAAATAAGCCTAAGAAATTGTTCCTTATATCAAACAAATACAATCGTCTTTAATGATAATGTTTGTTATGGTAACAAACAGAAAGTAGTGAGCAATTTTAAGCGAGTATTTTAAATTTATTTTCCACTATTTTTTAATAACACAGAGGTGTATTCCATTGATTAGATTGTATGCTTATTTTTTGTGTAAAAAAAACGGCAAAAGTGAATAAATGAATACTTATCTTTTCCTTTTATGTGTGTTTTGGCAAAGTGCATCATGATGTTGGTAAAAGACGGCAGGTGTCAGTATAAAAACTGTGGACAATGAAGTTCCTTTACAAAATCAACACAGTGACTGCTGGTTGCCAAGGAATACTTTGAAAGAGCATAAATAATTTAATTCATGGGGWATTACATGATGCATTGATTCTCAAATATGCTTATTCAGAGAAGGTATCTTTCAGSGAATACTGTGGGAGATAGTAAGTCCAGYYCYKGSCMMMYTTYSRMC